TCATGCTAAAGGGTATGTCACCATGTTAAATTCCTATGTACGATGGGCGTGTAGGGGGAGGAGGGGTCAATTTTTGACCAAAATTTTGCGTATGTACTTTGTGCACGCCGCCTTAACTTTAAATCTAGTTCATAGTCTAACTTAATGATAGTGAAATATCAAAGTGATAAATGAATATTTTGAATATAATATCACTTTTAAAATTAATAAGGTAAATAACGTTTAAAACAAGTTTTTCTAATAGCTATGCTTGTAATTAATGTATGTTAATATTTACTTAATAAAAAGTATTTAAATTTAATTTATACACTGAGCGTATTAACAATTATCAAGGGCATGGGAAAATATTTGTTGAAAACATACTGTTCCTCTTTACCAATACCCGATCAACTCAATACGCACCGGGAGATACCGGACCCGCATTGATATCGCTATTGGACCAAATCATAGAAAGCCCGCCGTATGTGGGCATAGAGTACGACAAGAAAACAATCTATTGCTTCGACAACGAGGCCTTTCGGTTTGCAGTGGCGTCGGCACCGCCTAATAATATGGTGTTTGATGACATGCTAACACGTGATTACGAAATGGGTTGGCAGGGGTACGTACTGTATATAAATTTTATTATAACGTCGTAAATTTATTAACACGGAGACTTTAATAAATTTTTAATAGAGATTTTTAAAATTAGTTATTATGAAACCCATTATTTAATATTAGGCTTCCATAAATATATTTTAATTAGGTTAAATAAATAAAATTTGAATATTTTAAAACAAACAGATCAGTCAAAGAATGCAATAGATTATTGGAGCGCATATTATCACTGCCCTAAGGCGATGGACACCCTATCTCTCAATGACGCCAAACAAAATATACTGCTATTGACTCAACCATTGGCTGACATCGCGAACAATATCTCTCATAACGTGAAGCAATGCGAACGACACAAACAACGAATCCATGAGTTCACGGGTGATTTAACAGCCCTGGAAAAGGAACTGTATATCCCTTCAGTGGACATCGAAACCGATCCATTAGATCACCCGAAGACTGTCTGCAGTGACAAAAATTGTTGCACTCAGGAGAACATTAACGGAAACATTAAGACCCATTATACGACCAGTTGCCATTCACCATGCTACTTGACACATAGTGATGGAAACATTGTAGGCAATAATGGTTTACTTGAGTCAGGCATTCAATAATTCATATCGGTCCAGACGTATATAGCGATCCGTCAGGACTTTACCCTGATCATAAAAATTTTGTCTCATGAATTGAACGCAGAGGGGAAGGTATTATCAACGCCATCATCGGTTGTTATAGTTACAGGTGTATAGCTGGAATGAATTCATTCAATTTGGAGTAATATTAAAGAATATTCTTTATTACAGTTAATATTTTAAAATTCTCATTAACTAAACTAAAATTCATTAAAATTCGTTAAATTTACACATTCAAATAATAGTTCATACTGTTGATTTAATTAATCAAAAGCAGTATTATCATAATTATTAAAATAAATGTTAGGAATATTTAAATTTTCAAAACTTGTAAGCTCAGTTGCCTTATAATAGAAATTTTCATTTCTGTTTCGTTTAACTTTTGACCACACAATGATACTAATAATAATAATTAAAACTAAGTGTTAACAAACATGCTACAATAATTACAATAACTGCCAACTGCATTTATAGGTAAAGGTGGGCTAATATTCGCTGGTATTTGGCTTGCTGATTTGATAGTAGTTGTGCTTGTTGGGATATTTGTTGATTGGTTTGCTGGCATATATGTGGTTGTCCATGGTAGTGTACTGATAGTGACACTTTCTACTGTTCCAGTATTTGGGTTTTCTGGTATATATGTAATTGTTCTTGTTGGCATATTGGTGATAATCCTGTAATTGTGTTCCCTTTGGTTTCGCTACTTGGGCTTGGTGGTGATCGGGTAGTGAGACTTGCTGGTTTATTAGTAACCGTGTTTGCTGATATATTGATGGCTGTGCTTGGTGGTAGACTGCTAGTCTGGTGTGCTGGCGTATGAGTAGTTTGTCTTGGTGGTGATCGGTTAGTTGGTCTCGGTGAGCGGGTAGATGGTCTTGGTGATCGGTTAGTTGGTCTTGGTGATAGTGTAGTTGGTGGTTTAGATTTTATTTTACGTGGTACAGTAGATTTAGGTAGGCTGGAGGTTATTCCATGGGAATAAGTTGTAATATAAGTAGTAGTTTTGTGTAAATTTTGGAAAAGGAGTTGTATCCAATCATTGTGAAGCATGGCATTCACGATGGGATACACTCATAGGTGCATCTCATGTGGGAATGTATCACATAATTGACGCAATAAGAGAAGAGGAAAATAGAATCTGCGGACAAATAGAATTGATTAACGCAGGAGAACAACGAATTCGTGTCCCTCATAAGCAAAGAGACAGATGTTGCGATGAGAACAATTCTCGAAAATCGGCGGCAAAATGTGTCAACAATTGCTGAATTTTTGAGAGGAATTGCTCATCGTATAGTTATGTAAATATTTAGTTAGTAAAGTCATAAAACAAAAAAATTAAAAATACCAAAAAATACAAAAAAAAATCAAAAAAATACGTAAAAATTATAGAAAAATTAAAATATATTAGTTTCATAAAGTTTAGATGCTTACTCGACTTTCGGTATACCGTTAGATTGGGAATAAAAAATTTTAAGGAGGGGAAACCCCATTTCCCTCGTAGAAACACCAACTCCCCTGAGGGAGTAGGCATTCCCTCGTGGAAGCGTCGAAATCCCCATCGAAATACATTAACTCTACGGGATGTTAGTGGGTGTCTCCAAAAACATCGAAATCCCCATAGAAATACATTATGTCTACGAGATGTTAAGGGTTGTTTCTTAAAACGTCGAAAACCTTTCGAAAAAAATTAGGCCTTTTGGATCGTAGGCTTTTTGGGAAAAGTAGGCCTTATGGGTCGTAGGCCTTTTGGGCGAGTCCCTTTTAATCTTATGTCTTGATTTATGTGATTAGTGGCTCATATCAGTTAACACGACAGATATTACGCGAAGAAGGTTTGCTTTAATTTTTATATTTATTGTAATTGTATTTTTAATATAAAATGTATACAGGAATACGTGGTTTATTTCGGGGCCTAACCCTGACATTAATACGTGAAATGCCCGGATATGAATTTTATTTCGGTGGATATGAATTGGCAAAAGAAGTTATGGAAACAAAGACATCCACTACTCAATTAGGTTTTCTTGATATTTGATTTAATATATTGTATTAAACTAATATTAATTTATCTTTAGGATTAGTTAAGTCCATAATTGCCGGTGGATTCGGTGGCCTTTGCTTCTGGACCTCCATATTCCCCGTCGATGTCGTCAAGTCTCGCATTCAGGTTGAGACCCAACATCAGAGTATGTCTTCTGTTTTGGCTCTCATTATCAGAACCGAAGGCATTAGAGGTCTATACAAAGGACTGACACCAACACTATTGCGGGCATTCCCTTCAACCGCAGCCCTATTTGTTACCTATGAGTACACGAAGGAAA